GTCAATCACAGTCGCTACGGTTGTGAGCAGGGAGCATGTTCCTAAAAGTTTAGCTCTGCCCCAAAATTTTCCCACAAAAATTGTTCTTATATAACCCACTGAGAATCTTTTACACTCGTTTGAGAGCCACCAAGATGATGGAGTGGAGCATCTCCCTGCTGAGGAAAGGCTGAGGGAGCTGGGGATCTTTAGCTTGGAGAAGAGGAGACTGAGGGGAGACCTAATTAATGTTTATAAATATGTAAAGGGCAAATGTCAGGAGGATGGAGCCAGGCTCTTCTCAGTGATGCCCAATGGTAGGACAAGGGGCAATGGGTGTGAGCTGGAACACAGGAGGTTCCGCTTAAACTTGAGAAGAAACTTCTTTCCAGTGAGGGGGACAGAGCCCTGGGACAGGCTGCCCAGGGAGGGGGTGGAGTCTCCTTCTCTGGAGACATTCAAAACCCGCCTGGATGCCTTCCTGTGTGATCTCGTTTAGGTTCCTGCTGCAGCAGGGGGGTCGGACTGGATGATCTTTCGAGGTCCCTTCCAATCCCTGACATCCTGTGATTCTGTGATCATGACTTCAAACAGGACTCTTTTTAGTTCAGTGGCATCTGTTTTCAGCAAATCCTTTGTTGCTAATTGTTCACTAACCATCAGTTTAGTATCAACCATAATATTATCTTTTCGACGCTCAGAATTATACTGACGAGTCTGTAATTAATGAAATATTAAACTAGTGGCACAGCACGTTACCTCCAGACCCTGTGGGATCTCAGCAATATTTCAAGACCAATGAAAAAGCAAAATTAATAAACCAGATGATTTTATTTTTGGCCAGCAGCTTTAAAATTCTTAGCTGCACATTACCTAGACCTCAGAATTTTAAAATATTTTGCTTTTTCATTATTGGTTAACTGCATCTCCAAGTTGCTGTTGAAATGCAGAATATTTCATCATCACATGGTATCAGCTATCTTTTTCCCAAGTGCAGCTCCAAACTATTTTCTGCTTTATCTCCAGTATTACTGAAACTTTTATTTTAGTAGATGGCTTCTCCATGCCTTGGTAAGGCTCTTTATGTTCCCAGTGGATTCAGAATCACTTTCTCCTTGTCCTGATGACCATGCTTTTTTCCTCAGGCTGTCTTTCTTGCCTTTTTCTGGCTTCTAATAGTGATTGCTCAGGTTTTCTCCTATTTCTTGGCTTTTTTTACTGTACCTTTTGCTTCTCCTGGGCTAGGCAGATGTTTTAACTGGCGTAGCACTGATATCCATAGCAGGATTGTAGAATTTTCTCTGATCTCTCATAAATCGGTGTTAAAACACTTATAATAATCAGAACCTGTTTTCTATTTATGTTTTTTCTGCCACGTGACTTGGCTCATAACTATTTTCAGCCTCGTGAAACAGTCTCTTCTATCACATATAGGATGTTAGTTTGCATTTTACATCTGTCGTCTGCAAATTACCCTTGGCAGGTCCTCATTGCGGTGCTCTGCAGCGACCTGCTGTGTTTCAGTTTGGTGCCAAATCACCCTTTATCTGTCAAGATGTGATTCACAGCAGGCTATCCCTCACGTTGCCTTCAATAATTTTGAAGGCAAGCTCTGGGGTATGAAAAAAGGATGGTCCCACTACACCCAGGACATGCTACTGAACTGGATCTGCTAAGGAGAGAGGTTCTGTCCTTCTTCTGCCCAATAATTTTTGCTTGGTGGTATTGAGATACCTAAAATAGGGATCCTGTCTCAAAAAGCTCATAAGAATTGAAATGGAGGCATTTCTGCTCCTTCTGTTGCCATGGGATAAGCTTTATTGAGGTGCTACACAGCTTTGTCCCTGTGGTCTCCAGAGCAGGCAGGAGATGCAGAATCCCTGGTGGGACGGATCCTGCTGGCATTGGTATTTTTGTGTGTCTCCACTCAAGCTCTTCATAAAGTCTCATCT